AATAGACTAAAAGACAAAAGATGACATCACCCATTGTTTTGTGAACTTGCATTTTAAGGCCTGAAGTTTAGCATTGTGGCTGCCACCATTTAGTTTTATTGAAGCTAAAAGTGGATCAGCTAATGCTTAAAAGAGTGACTAGAAAAGGGCATCCATATAATCGACAGTCTTCTGTTAACATATAGATACAGTAACCAGAACTAGACCTTCAACTACCTGCCATTTAAAGCAACCGCACCCCCAATAATGCAGAACTGGAAGCCTTAATGTGCAATAAACTGGTGAATCATAAAAGCATTCACCTCCTGTGGTTTTATTGTTAGAGGCGGGAAGCATCAGACACCACATGATACAATATTATCACAAAACTTCAGTCACAATCCAATATTATTGTGACTTTTAGTATTTTGCATATGCTGAGTATTACAAAAACTTATTACAATTTAGCACAGCTGGTATCTGTTTTCTCCAATGAGATAAAGTTATCTCACTTTTTTTTTTTTACTGCATAATGAGATTGTCAAACATACCAACAAACCCGCCACGAATGTTCCCATAAGACAGTCACGCTATCAGAGAGCAGCTGAATGGGATCAAGTTGACAATTAAACACAGTCTGTTTCTGGTGATAGAGCAATTACTGTGATAAATAATTGAAAATATCATATCTGTTGCTGTTTACATAGAGAGAAATTTACATTTAACAGAAATTCAGGTTTAGCCATTACATGTGTGCTCAGCAATCTTCCTGTTCTGTAGGAATATAACCGTAATAATGCTCCTGGCTGTAAAACATTTGCACGTCGGATTCAGTAAAAGCACCTTGCACATCATATCCCACCTATATTTTGCATTTTTTGGCTTTTCAAGCCCAGAGTTTCTGCTTCATCTTGCCCAGTTGATCCTTATTAACTAAAGCTGCTCCGTTAGCAGTGCAGATCTGAGGGTATGGATACCATCTCCTCTCATCTGTGACAACCAAAACACACAGTAGCAGTGAAAGCATTTCAGCGGCCGTGCTCTCATCGCCAACACGAGTGCCTGGAACTCATCGCTGTCAGCATTCACACACACGTTTTATACCTGTGTCACCATGCCAAGTCAGGGTAATAGTTTTAATGGAGTGCCACTCTCTTAATGCAAATATACAGTGCGATTTAGTCTGATTTATTACCTTGTGATGGATGCATAAAGTGTGCGTTTGCCAGACAAGTCGCAAAGAAACTGCAGCGAGTGTCATTGTTTACTGCCACGCGGCCTACTTTTCCTACTTCTTCCCTTCCCTCCTTCCTCCATCCCAGCCTCTGTTTTCAACTTCCTTTTTCCGCCTGTCTCTCTTTCCCGTATCATACGCGGCCAAAAACATTGTTTGTGTGTTTTGTAGCAGAATGGGCTGTTGGCCATCCCCGGTTATTTTTATCCTGGTTTGTTACTGAGGCACTAGAAGAGCAAAAGTGGCTGTCTGTTCTGCCTACGTCTTTACATTTTCAGTGATACATAATCACTCTGTCTTCTTTGTTGTTGTTTCTTTCCGCTCTCAGTTTGCCCACATCCTATCAAAGGAATCAGTTACTTTATGCATGAAGTTGTCAAACAAGCCCGTGATAAACATCTACACCGACGTGAAGCTTTCCACGTCGATAAGACATTGACTAGCATCTGCCTTTGCTGCCGTGTCATTATTTCACCAGCTGTATTTCCAGTAGCAATGACGGGCCTTTTTGTTGTTATAATACAAGGACACTGACCCACTTGTAGGTCGTGTTTATGCGAGTGTGCGTGGTACGTTTTTTTTTTCCAGTGAGGTAGCCTCATACTGTCACATCTCATTGCGTTGTGAAGGAAGCCTCCAGACGATCTGCGTCTCTCTCGTTTCACCGCGCGCGACTCATATTCGCGAGCTTGTCAGGAAGAGTGTAATTAAGTTTCAAGAACCACGTGTTTGCGGTGTTTTCCCCAGTGATGCTGGTGATATGGGTGGCAAGTAGGGGTGTGGCTAAAGGGAGGTCTAGGGTAGCACAGCCCTACTACAGTATATGATGTTAAAGGAAATAAATTGAAAGCTATTTTTACGTTTTGAAAACTGGACCCCCCTCATTTGCCTCAAAGTGGTCCAAGCCTGCCGTTTCCTAACTCCATTACCACCAGTTGCCCACTATAGTGTCATGGGGCAGTAGCTGTCTATGTTTCTCAGGTGGATTTTTATTCTGAAATATTTTTTGACTTCCTCTTTAAAAATATCCTGGAAACATCGCTTGTTGAGTTATGTTGCTGTTGCGTGTTAGTTGTACATCGTATCCGAGTGCATGAACCTGTAGGAGACTTTGGAACAACATGTTAGAGCTGCAGGTACCCACGAGTATTGATGCTCTTCTGAAGGCTCGTCAGAATAAAGCAGGCCCTCCTTCCTTTACCTGCACTCTTCTCTGCTCTGCTTTGTTTATAAACCTTCAGTGCTTGTCAATATCTTGTAATCAGTTTTTTTATTCCACTCCGCATCTTCTGCAGCCAGCAGTAAAAAAAACAAAACCTTCCAGACTAGTTCAGTAAGTCAGTCTGGAGGATTGTTTTGGAAATCCTCCCTCGTGATTCCCCGCTTTCTTTGTGTCTCCTCTCAGAAGCCTGTCTTCCGGCGTTTTTCAACATCTCCCTCCTCGGCTTCTCTCTTTCAGTCTGCTCCACTCAGCTGCTCCCTCGTCTCGATATGCTCCTTAACCTCTTACCTTCCTTCCTCTCGGCGTTCCCTCCCCCCCTCCCCTCTCAGATTTAACAGCGTCTGTTAAATCTTTTTCCATTAAGCCGTATGAAACATTTATGCTTTTCTCCACCTCGTCCTTTACGCTCA